TATGTTGGTTTTGTCATGACGCGGCTCGTATGTCAATTTGCCGACAAGAAGCACATAAAAGATCGACAGATTGGAACCCGGGCTAATCTATGAGAAAAATTAATCCGCTTTCCGTAAAAAAACGCAACAACAACTAAAACAACAACACAAAAAAGCTAGATTTTAAAGTGAAATATTTCATATAAATTACAAAAACAGCGTGGGGCGTTTCAATTTAAAAGCAGTGCGCTTAATATAACTTTACGAAAAAATGTCAAGACATCAATTTATTATTTCGATACTTTAGCAATAGTAAATCTATAAGATTAATTACATATATTTATTTCAAACAACGAAATGGAACAAAACTAGTTAGAAATCTTGTGTGTACTGAATTCCTCGGAAAATGGGTAAAAATGAGCGCCACACTTCATACTACATTGGGTGCCATTTAAGTAAACCATATGTACAAATCAATGGTTTTATTATATGATAGCTAGTACTTTAAACATAATTTTGGCGTTTCTTAAAAAAGCAGCTTCAATTGTTTTTAACGCGGAAAAATCCTTTCATAAAGGCCCATAAAGCCCTAGAAATGCTTTTATTTTTTAAAGCTTTTTATTTATATTTTTTTATTTTTTTTATTATAATTATTATTTCCATTATCATTAGACTGAACTAACGTTTGCTTCTGTTAATTTTTGCCAATCAAGTACGGTATTAATGATTTAGTAATTTGTATGAAAGTCAAAATTTTGCTACAATAACAATTTTAATACTTTCACATTCACCACTACTTTCTTTAGAAATACAGGCAAAACAAAAATGTAAATCTGCACAAACTTCATGATATATTAACACGTTTGCTTCTTTTAAAAGAAGCATGCGAGAGGTCAATTTGCTGCTGTGAGAGATTTGTGTAATTCGAAAATATATGTGGATATTTTTGCATAAAAGACACAATGAATGGTTATAAATTACACTTATTTAACAAAATAGAATTAATATTATATAGTATCATAATGAAAGTTTGTTTTACACTTCATTTTTTAAAAATGTTTTGAAAGATTACATGCCGGAGGTACTAAAAGCGATACTTTTTCTACAAAGGAAATAATTTATGCTATGCCATCAAACTAAATTTAAAATAAATGATAAACACATGTATATATTTATATTAAAAGTAGTATCAAAAATAAAAGTTTCTTGTAAAATTCAATAAGCACATTTTCGGTTAATGTTTTGGTAAGTATACGGAAACATTTCCTCTACATTTCATTTTCCAAAACGGGCATAAAGTATGTTAATCAATTTTAAGTCCCATAATTTACATAAAAAATGTTTATATCATTTGATTGAAATAAACGTAATAAATAATAAACTAACATAATAAACTGCATGCCTAGTTTAATCATATTTTATTGCTATATACATGTATATACAATACAGATACAAATTTCATATGTATTTTAAAAAGCAAAAGCAAACGGGTTGGGCCCAAGTTCTTACAACATTAGCGGTCGGCCCTCCCCGGTAGATAATGAAACGAAAAAACTATATTCAATACTTAATGGCATATAACATAAACATAGTGTATATCATGTATAATTGTTGATGGAATGAATCGTAAGAAACGATTTTTAACAATATACAATAAAGTAATCGAACAGATAGAAATCAACATTCGTGTATTTTATAAATTTATAAAAATGGATGATCTAAGGATTCAGTATAACCTACCCCCCACCCCCACCCCTAAGTGTCACGGGTTTCGTTAAGGCTGTTATGTGCATTTACTTTATATTGGGTACAGGGTATTTGTAATTACTTCTTATATACTGCATGCCTCCAACCACAATTAATATTTGAGGAAAATCTTGAGTAAAATTTGTGCCATTTGCGCCAAAAAAATCTCCGTTGCACTATTTAGTCGTACATATTCAAAAGTTTAAGGAGCAGCAAAATTTCGGTACACGGTTCTCTCGGTCATATTGAATGGTGATATTGTACCTGTTATGTTCACTGTTACTATTTATCGGAATATGAAATAGTAAAACGCTATTCAGAAAACAATACGGTAATTGATTTATACAATTAAAAAGATTAAAACGGAATGAAACATCCACGTAGCGTTAAGTGACGTAAATGAAATTTTCCGATTTTTCTACGTATACTACCGATTTGTTTTCTTCGATGTTAATTTTTCGTTTAAGTTAATTAAGTCGTATTTTGAAACGGAGCACGCGCAAAACCATTTTTGTAGACTGCTCCTAATGATTTTACGCTATAAATGAGATTCATTCACTACAATCAGATACGCAAAAATGGATACCGCCAGCAATCAGTCTGAACACTGTGGAGAGGTCTGATCGATGACCTCTCCAGTTATGTATTTCAATTTTTTTTAAACTTGAAAAAATATAGTACCCGAACCGTATTTACAATGCCGGCAGAAGGGGATTATTTAGAATACTACATGAAATATATGTATAAATACCTATAAACAATTAATATAATTCTGAAAAAAACACTAACAAACAAATATACATGACACTTAAAGTGAAATATTTCATTAAGATTACAAATTGGAACAGAATACAAAACAGCGTGTTCCGTTTCAATTAAAAAGCAAAATAAACAAAAAAATCAAAACAGCAATTTATTATTTCGATGCATTGGCAATGGTATATCTATACTATACATGTATATTATATTTTTTGTGTCAAACAATGAGAAAGACAAGGGACTAGTTATTCGCTTGTTCTTATATTCGAGTCTGTACCGTATTTCTCGGAAAATACTATGAAAAATGGCTATACTCGAATGCTTTCAGGTTATTATTTTTTTAGTTTTTATATACTGTGGATAGTTTGTATAGTCACGGTGCTCTGAACCTTATCTCGTTAAAATCAGTTGAGTAACAGCAAAGTTTGAAAAAAAATGTGCGTATTCCTTACGTGGTGTAACTACTTTCAATCCGTATTAACTCCGATGTTATTATAGATAATAGCCGTGACATCCCGATTGATCGCCACACGATATACTTGAAAAGTCCGGTGCTATTTACAATTAAAGTACTATGAACATACTTTTTGGCGTTTCTTAAAAATGCTTTTTATTTTTTAGTTTTCTGTTTTAATTTCCAAAAGTGGCTGATCGGTCGTTTCCATCTTTTGCGTCTGTTAATTTTTGGCAATCTAGTTGTGATAGTTATTTAGTATTTTGTATAAAAGTCAAATACTACTTTGTTGACATTTTTGGTTAATAATTTTACATTCACCGCTTCAAGTCATAAGCGGCTGCATGCTTTAAAATAGTTATTTAAAGGTTATAAAACCCGTGTTCAGAAACTTGCTTAGACTGAGACATAATGTGCCTTTAGCATTCAGTACAGACCCGGCATTAATGGTGGAACCGTAGCGTGATTTAGTATTTTAAGGGGTGAATCGAGTGCAGAAAATATATGCTGTATTTCTCACTAAATTTGTTCTTTGAATGACATTAAAAAATATTTATCCGTTTTATAATAATCATGTAAATTTATCCGTTTGATAATAGTCATGTAAATTCCATCAGTACTTTTAGTACTTTGATTTCATATGTGACGTCAAAGCGCGCACTGGCTAGACTGTGTCTCGCGTGAATTATTGTCTACGACAAAGGCTGCGACGTCGCAGAAACACAACGTCTGCGACACGTTTCATAAAACGGTCGTACGACATTGTCGCAGACGTACGACACCGACAAAAAATTGTCGTAGACTACGACACGTTGATAAAACGGCCCCCAGTGGTGTTGCTTTTCAGAGCGCAACAAGGCAATGCGTTGGTGGGTAAAACCCCTATAGCCCCGTGTTCACTAAGAAAAGGTCAGGATCAAGATCAAATGATTTTAATTTTATTTTCATTGTTTGTTTTTTTTTTAACTAAAATTGATCATACTTTGCTAGAATTAAATGGTTTATATTCAAAATATAAACAATTTCTGATTTTTTGGGATAAAATCGACAAATAACAAAACAAAATCAGATCAAAATAAGGATTAGTTTTGATATCAAGATCAATATTCGGATCAGCTGTAAAATGCCAATATCTTGCAAAAATAGAAATAAATTTATTTTAAAATTTTATAAATATGCCATTTCAAGTCCAATTATATCAAGTTATTATGAGATATTTAATCCATGAGGGTAGACAATGGAGTACATTTGAGTTTTTGAATTTGATCCTGATCTTGATCCTTAAATCTTTGTGGAATCGGGCCCGGATTGTGCGACGTCGGGTTGTTTGGCCAATATCACACCCTCTTCCAGGAGCTGGAAGAGAGTCTAAGGGTAAATACATGGGGTACATAATGATGAGCCGCAACATGTTTGGGATTTTGAAAGGATATGATTTTTATAAGATACGCAACGGTCGTAGGACTGTTGCACGGCTGACGCACGAGTTATACGATTGTCTTACGATTGTCAGCCATTCGATTACGGCACGCGGTAGCCGCACGATGCTTGTAAGGCAACTCTGCGGTCGTCGCAAGACAAACAAACATTATGACTTAAGAACTTCTTGAAATCGTGAATCTGTCGTACGGTTGTCTCAAGACTGTTTTGAGACGTCAAAAATCTGTCAAAAAATCTCAAAAATAATGTGCACGTTGAGAAATCAGTCTGCGACGTTGCGGCAATCTTGTGACCTTAAGAATTTGTACGACTGTCTTGTGCCTGCCGCACGAAACACAGCGATTTTTGTCAATTGCGTTTCGTACGGCTGCCGTAATGCTGATTTGATAGAGGCTTTATAAATAAATTAAGATATCCCAACACTGTGCCGAGTCCCTGTGATAAAAAGAAAACAATTATTGACTAGCTAGAGATCTTATTGCTCAATTTCAACTACTGAATTACAATAAAATTCAAGTATTAAAAGACTGATAAAGACTGAATATAAAGGAACTTGTATGGGGAAGTCCGGCTCGGCCCCAATCGCATATACTCGGCCCTTTCCGTAAGTCTTCAGATCTCAAGACGCAACTAAATTGTTTTTATGTCATTTGTATATTGACAAATTGAAGAAGCATCAAACCTGTCATCAAATTTTGATTCATGTTATGTTATTATACACATGTCCTCGTTGTTTTTACATGAGACTTTATTTCCTAAAGTGATTTAAATGTAATGAAAATTTGCCATAAAGTTTGGAAAACGGTGTCAAGATAAAATTTTGTTCCGAGTAATTGATCCAGCATGTCGAATTTTAGCATAAGTTGTTTACCAGTAGAAACGCAAGCTTACATATTAAGTAAATTAGATGGAAGGACATCTGCAGTTGCAAAGAAAGTTTGCACGTTATGGAATGAAATAATTACAGGTAATTATCGTGCTTGATTAGATAGTGTTACCTGTATAATTATATTGAATTGAATGTACATGTAGGTAAATCTATGTTTTTTGTTCTTTAAACTAGAGATGTGCTTAAAGTCACACTAAAAAGTTGGTTCCTAGGTGTCATAACAAGTAATGGGGCCATTGTAGATTTTGGAAGGCAAGAGAGAATGCTATATAAATTGGGTGGATTTTAGTCAACTAATTAGACTTGTCAAAAAGATGAAAGATGTCAAGATATTTTTTATGAGCGATGTCTTTAGACAGTATGTATGAAAAAAAACAGTCTGTAGAATGGGTCAAATTGTTCATGCCAAATTTATTAGGCTAGACAGATTTAAACCCTAGACTGACAGATGTACAGTCTGTTGCTCTACCCCTCTGGGCTGATATAAGGTCTTTGAGACTAATGGTTCATGATCCATGCCAGTGGCTTCAAGAAATTTTGTATGGTTTATAAATATTTTTCTGTCTCAATTTCATAGTCTCAAAAACAATTCCAGTCATCTATTTTATTGCTAATGTGCTGATAAGCAAAAATTTGGCTCAGCCTCTATACCACTCTTTGGTCACCTTATTTGTTTTATTTTTTGTAATAAAATCAAAGAGAAATTCTATATGATGTGTAGTGTGTCTGTCACAAACATGTGGCAGCTAATATTAAAACAAAAACTTAAAAGTTTTGAAGAAACACATGTACAGGTGTATTGACAAGGATTTTAGAAATCTAAACAAGTTGTAAATGCTTATTTTTATCCAGGTTTTGAGACATGCATGCATTTTTGGATGAGATGTTGTTTGCGAGAAATTCCCCCATACACACTGGTTGAGCTGACGAGGCTGATGCAGTTGTCTGGTGGAAGGGAGAGCACTCTTGTACAACAAGCTGCAGATTGGAAGACTGCTGTAGAGAGTAATCTCCACTGGATGTATTGGAAACAAGTCTATGCAGAGTATTGGAGGTATGACATCACTAAAGTTTTTGAAAATATTTTAGAGCAAATAATGGTAGATCATTTTATAATTTTCATTCACCTGTCAATCGTTACTCAGCTCCGGCTCCCCTATCTCTGGAGCAGTGTACGGGAAAGCTGCGAAAATAATGAGTCTTTAGCATTCACCTGTCTGCACTTTGGTCAATGTCAGTGATTTTGCTTGGAAGCAAAACTTGTAAGGGATATGTTCAACTGGCAGACTTGAGACTTTACTTTGGGTTTGATAATCCCAAAATCCAAGTCCCTGCTATTTCCTGGGAGGAGAGGGTCTGGGGTTTCAAATGACTGATGACTAAGGAGGTACACATCTAATTTTATGTGGACGTTAGTAAAATTGCAAGTTTTGTTAGTAGTTAATGTTATATCTAAAACTTTCCAAGTGCCATTCTTAAGTTTTAAAGTGGGTTTTTAGTCATATGATTTTAAGATTGACTTAATTATATAACCCTAGTAGTTTTAAAAGTCTTTCTGTAATAAGAAACATTTTATTACTGTAGACAAGGTTTTCTTTATTTACTTTTTATTTATTCAGCATTTTTATATGTTTTTGACTTGTTTGTCTTTAATGTGAAATACTGCTTAAATTTATTTCATGTGTAGATATAGATATATTGAACATGGTGTAGAGAAAAGAATAGAGTTGCATTTCTATCCAACACATGGGCAAGTCAGGTGTCTGTATGTTCAAGGTAAGAATTGTTATGTACATGCATATACCAATGTACTTAAAATTAAATAGTTATTTAGATCATTTACTTGATTTGTTGAATTTCTGATTATGCCACTTCTAGTAGGTGGTTGGTTTAAAAACATCCAGTTTTAAGAAAATTGAATGTGAATGCTTGTTTCTCATTTTGCAGACAGCAAAATACCTTGTTAAGATCTGATTTATGATGATACATAAAAGAAAAATGTCCAAGTTTAATATGATATATAACAAAAATGTCCTGATATGATATGATTTCTAATGTAACTGGCAGCAAAAATGCCCTGATTTGATTTCTAATGTAACTGACAGAAAAAATGCCCTGATATGATACAATTAACAAAATTGCCCTGATTTATATTGTTACAGACAATGTTATATATGTGGGTCATGAAAGTGGAGAAGTGATCAGTTGGAGGAACATGGAGGACAATCTAGAGTTCCGAGTGTTGTATAAACATCATCGGAGAGTCACGGACATTACTGGCCTAGATATGGGTGAATTATTTGTTTAATTCTGCAAAATATTTTGGCTACTATTTTTGTATTTGATTATAAGATTGTATTGTTAAAAGTTTTGTAGATGAATATTTTGTATGAAAGGTTATGCTTATATCACCTTTGACTAACCAATTTAAGAAACCAACAAGAGCAACCATTGGTTGATTACGGTTGTTGATTTAAAATCAATTGCCAGTCACTCTTGTGGGTTTAAATCCTGTCAAGAACTTTGAAGTCTTTCACATGACGAATCTATCCAGATAATGTACAGAACATCAGTGGTTCTACTTGGCTTTAAAATTTAATAGAATTCAACACTGTCTTACTGACTACAACTCCTACTTTGAGAATAGTCACCAGTTCCAGTAGTAATCTGTAATGTATTTTTTGTTTGTTTTCTTTATAGTGATGCCAACAAAAGATATTTTGAATGGAGAGTTTGTCAATAAGATTGTTAGTTCATCAATGGATACCAGACTGATTCTATATAATTTAAACACAAAGAAATCCAACACTATCCAACATTACAGTAAACAAGTCAACTGTGTCAGGTAACTTTTGGTCTTGGATTTAGTAGAACTTAACCTTTTACCCCATGAGCATATTGCGAAAAATGGCCGTTTTCATTGAAAAGCCTCCTGTAACAAGTTCAAACTGCTATGAAACTATGAAAAATGCTTCAATACTAATGAAACTTGGCACATGTGTTGACTACACCATAGCCTCTGTAACAGCATGCTCAATTGTAAATTTCCTGTTACCATTGCAACGGGGGGACGTCTCAAAATTGCCAAAAATCAGTATTTTGCATTGTTTTTTCCATCAAAACTGATTTCAAAGTGCTGCAACTTCTCAATGAATTGAGATAGAGTAAAAGACTTTTCAGCGTCGGTTACTAGTTCCCTAAGATCAACCTGAGGCCATTTTTAGCCTGTCACTATCCAAAATTTTCTTGGCGACGGATGGGGAAGGCGCCGAAAAAGTGGTCATTTCACTGTTTGAGGCCTCAAAGGGGGGGGGGGGGGGGGGGGGGCAAAAAGCCGTCGAAACACACTTGTATAAGGGAAAAAGGATAACCCTTGACATGCTATGATTGTCAATTTGTCTCTCATAAAAGTTAGGGCTACAAAAAAAGATCTTATTGCTTGTAAGGTAAATACTTTCTGAACTGAGGAGTTTTGGCACTGCTTAACCTTCTTGATCAAACTAAATGTTTGTAATATCCTGCTTTGAGTTAAAAACTTTTTATTGTGAATTTAAAGGACTTTTTTGATCAAAATGTTTATTTGAAATAACAATGTTTTTGAAGATCATTGCAAACACATGAAATGGTCCGGATTTTCCCCAAATCAAAATTATGAAGATATTGTTGACCTCTTGTGGATGTTCAAGGATAGAGAGTAGTTTTCGTAATAAATGTGACACTTTGGAATGAAATTAATTGATCATTAATGTGTACTTTTGTATGTCATTCAATAATTTCCAAATTTGACCAAATATGGCGCTTTAATTTCCCAATATAATAGTCTAAGTGTCTTCCAAATTTCCAGGAAAAAAAGCTCTTTTTGTTTCAAGTAATAGGCAAATTCTTTTCAGCCTTAGTCCATGACGGGATATACATGTATGTAGCTCTGTTTGAAGAATTTTAAAGGCCCATTATGCCTAAGAAATACTTTTATTTTTATTTCTTAAAAACTTTTTATTTTTGGTGTCTTGTTGTAGTTTCCAAGCAGTTACTCACTGGCCAATTACCAGAAATATCTTTTGTCTCTGTTATCTTTAGTATTTTGTACATAAATCAAAATACTACTTTGTTTACATTTTGCTATTTTGATGACAAATTATTTCACTTTCTACATTACCTTGCTCAAGTGATAAACATTTAACATTCTCTAAAACCATTAAATGTTATAAAAGTCATTCTTGGCCTTTCTAAAGAGGGAAAAAATTGCATACATGTATGTCTTTAAGTACTGGTAAAAGTAAATATTCATGTTTTAGGTCATGGGGTCATCATTTTGTTGCTGCAGCAGACAGAAGTATACTGCAAGGCCAGCCTATATGGAGATCTTCACACAGATCAACCACTGATACTAAGAAGCTATGTACTGTCTTTAGTCAATCAATTGCGGACATGACAGCTGTTGCGTTCTGGGAAGATACAGTAAATAAGTACTTTTTTTAGCTCACCTGTCACAAAGTGACAGGGTGAGCTTTTGTGATCGCTTTTCGTCCAGCGTCCGTCCGTCGTCCGTCCGTAAACTTTTACTTTAAATGACATCTCCTCATAAACCACTAAGCCAATTTCATCCAAACTTCACAGGAATGTTCCTTTGGTGGTCACCTTTAAAAATTGTTCAAAGAATTTAATTCCATGCAGAACTCTGGTTGCCATGGCAACCGAAAGAAAAAACTTTAAATATCTTCTTTTAAAAAACCATAAGAGCTAGAGCTTAGATATTTGGCATGAAACATCTTCTAGTGAGTGTCTACCAAGTTTGTTCAAATAAAAGCCCTGGGGTCAAAATTGGCCCCGCCCCGGGGGGTCATTGATTTTCCCTATATGCATACAGTAAAAACTTAAAAAATCTTCTTTTAAAGAACCCAAAGAGCTAGAGCTAAGATATTTAGCATGAAATATGTTCTAATGGGTGTCTACAAAGTTTGTTCAAATAAAAGCCCTGGGGTCAAAAATGGCCCCGCCCCGGGGGGTCATTGATTTTCCCTATATGCATATAGTAAAAACTTAAAAAACTTCTTTTAAAGAACTCAAAGAGCTATGGCTAAGATATTGAGCATCAAACATGTTCTAATAGGTGTCTACCAAGATTGTTCAAATAAAAGCCCTGGGGTCAAAATTGGCCCCGCCCCAGGGGGTCATTGATTTTCCCTATATGCATATAGTAGAAACTTAAAAAATCTTCTTTTAAAGAACCAAAAGAGTTAGAGCTAAGATATTAAGCATGAAACATGTTCTAATAAGTGTCTACCAAGTTTGTTCAAATAAAAGCCCTGGGGTCAAAATTGGCCCGCCCCGGGGGGTCATTGATTTTCCCTATATGCATATAGTAAAAACTTAAAAAATCTTCTTTTAAAGAACTCAAAGAGCTATGGCTAAGATATTTAGCATCAAACATGTTCTAATAGGTGTCTACCAAGTTTAATCAAATAAAAGCCCTGGGGTCAAAATTGGCACCGCCCCGGGGGTCATTGAATTTCCTTATATGTGTATAGCAAAAACTTAAAAAATCTTCTTTGAAAAAACCCAAATAGCTAGAGTTAAGATATTAAGCATGAAACATCTTTTAGTGAGTGTCTACAAAGTTTGTTCAAATAAAAGACCTGGGGTCAAAATTGGCCCCGCCCCGGGGGTCATTGATTTTCCTTATATGTGTATAGCAAAAACTTAAAATCTTCTTTGAAAAAACCCAAATAGCTAGAGTTTAGATATTAAGCATGAAACATCTTCTAGTAAGTGTCTTCAAAGTTTGTTCAAATAAAAGCCCTGGCCCGGCCCCAGGGGTGTCATTGTTTTTAACTATATGTGTATAGTAAAAACTTAAAAAAAAATCTTCTTTTAAAAAGCCCAATGAGCTAGAGCTTAGATGTTTAGCATGAAACATCTTCTTATGGGTGTCTACCAAGTTTGTGCAAATAAAAGCCCTTGGGTTAAATTGGCCCTGCAACGTTGGGGGGGGGGGGGGGGGGGTTGGGGGGGGCCTATATACAGGTGAGCGACCTCAGGGCCATCATGGCCCTCTTGTCTTACAAAATATTTTCATTTTCAGTGTGAAACAACCTAATTGTTTATAGTGGTACAAAAAATGTACACACAAAATTATATAAATGGGTTTTCATTTTGATCTGGGGCAACAGATGTGCCAAAGAAAACAACCAATTTTGCCAAGGGTCAAGGGTGATATTTTAATATACTAATTTTTTTGTTTGAGTGAAAAATGGAATATATTTTCACTCAACATGATAAAATGCCACATATTTTCACGAGCCGGGACGTTGAGTGAAAATATGTGGCATTTGATCATGTTTAGTGAAAATATATACCATATTTCATAAAATGAAATAATAACCTTTTTATTTAATTTCATTGTCAAAAGAAAAATGGTTACAAACCCCATTGCTTGCTACGAAACTGCAATTGTTCAGCGCGCAGTAATATATTATTGTTTGACTATTGATTATCTTGTTTTGCATGCGATATTTGGCGTTACATTGTGTGTTACGTAAACAACTCTTTAAACATCTGTACAGCGTTAATAACTGAATTAAAGATATTGGTGTTCGGATTTATTTTCTTAGTTAGACCATTTTCTATCATTCTAGATAGTTTTCAAAACAAAATTCAACAAAAAGTTGTTTCGTATTTATCAGATTTTTCAAACAAAATGGCGAAAGAAGTCCCTTAAAATAAATATGAGTTTTGACTCCACCCACTTTCATATTTATATTTCATTAATTATTTTTAACAAATATGAAATATATTTGACTGATATAGCACCATATTTCATGGGTAAAATTAAATAAAGGCTGAATATACAATTGATTTGTTGTTTCCTAATATGATTTGGAATTTATGTTAACAAATGTTATTTTTTTACTTGAACTTAATACATAATTATACATAATTGATTTTTCTTTCATAGTTTTGTCTTCCTTACTGTGTCCATTTTATTAGTTGATCTTCAATGTCTCCTGTGACAGCTCTTTCTCTTAATTGCTGTTATTTAAATTCATTACAAAAGATTAACTGTTACCGGGTTATGGATATGCAAAATATCAAAATTTTCATTGAACATGCCGAAAAAAAATCAATTTAAGGGTGTAAATCTTTATCTTATGAAATATTTAAATAAAATTAAGCAACAGTGAAATTATATTGGTTCCATTATCATAATGTATGTTAACAGAGTAAAATGTGTAATTTTCACTCCATTGCAGATCATATGTTTATAATTAATTGATTAGTACATGAAATAAGGCATTTGATACTTTCATTTGCATTTGATAAATAATTATATAGAATAATACATTTTAACTTTAAGGTAGTAGCAGGTGACTTGTTTGGGAGCTTATATACATGGAGTGATTGTCTAGGTTGTGATCAGCAAGACAAACAAGATATGACCTACATAACAAACCTTGGCTCTTGTATTAAATCTATCTTTCTACTTGGAAAAAGGATTATCTGTTACACAAGTAAGTAACAGTTTACTAATAAACATAATTATGTAGCTATTTCTTAAAAAAAATATTATATACTGGTTTGCTTGTCTGTAAAACATTTTTATGCTCCCTGAAAAATTTCGGGGGAGCATATAGTCGTCGGGTTGTCCGTCCGTCCGTCAGTCTCCGCACTCACAGGACAGTAATTATGTGGCTAGAGGGACAATAGGTAACTGTTCTTTCTCTTTGATGTCATTCATTCCGTAATGCTTTTATGTGGCTATTTTCTTTTGTGTGGCTAAAAAGAACAATAGAGAGAACAATAGAGTAGCCACATAATTACTGTCCTGTGAGAACTTCCGTCAGTCCGTCAGTCCGTCCGTACGTACGTCCCAAATTCGTGTCCGGCCCATAACTTTGTTATTTGAAGTCGGATTTTAAAACTATTTCACAGAAATGATCACCATATTGAGACAACATGTTGCGCGCAACATTTGGCTCGCTACCTTGAAGGTCAAGGTCACAGCTTGACCTTGCAGCAAAATCTTGTCCGTTTCATAACTTCCTTTTTTGAAGTCGCATTTTAAAAATATTTCACAGAAATGATCACCATATTAAGACGACGTGTCGCGCGCAACATTTGGGTCGCTACCTTGAAGGTCAAGGTCACAGCATGACCTTGCAGCAAAATCGTGTCCGGTCCATAACTTTGTTATTTGAAGTCGGATTTTAAAACTTTTTCACAGAAATGATCACCATATTGAGACGACGTGTCGCGCGCAACATTTGTCTCGCTACCTTGAAGGTCAAGGTCACAGCATGACCTTGCAGCAAAATCGTGTCCGGTCCATAACTTCGTTATTTGAAGTCGGATTTTAAAAATATTTCACAGGAATGATCACCATATTGAGACGACTATCGCGCACAACATTTGGCTCGCTACCTTGAAGGTCAAGGTCACAGCATGACCTTGCAGCAAAATCGTGTCCAGTCCATAATTTCATTATTTGAAGTCCGATTTTAAAAATATTTCACAAAAATGATCACCATATTAAGACAATGTGTCGCGCGCAACATTTGGGTTGCTACCTTGAAGGTCAACGTCACAGCATGACCTTGCAGCAAAATCGTGTCCGGCCCATAATTTTGTTATTTGAAGTCAGATTTTAAAACTTTTTCACAGAAATGATCACCATATTGACACGACGTGTCACGCGCAACATTTGGGTCACTTCCTTGAAGGTCAAGGTCACAGCATGACCTTGCAGCAAAATTGTGTCCAGCCCATAACTTCGTTATTTGAAGTCGGATTTTAAAAATATTTCACAGAAATGATCATCATATTGAGATGACGTCATGCACAACATTTGGGTGGCTACCTTGAAAGTCAAGGTCACAGCATGACCTTGCAGCAAATTCGTGTCCCGCCCATAACTTCGTTATTTGAAGTCAGATTTTAAAACTATTTCACAGAAATGATCACCATATTAAGATGACGTGTCGTGCACAACATTTTGATTGCTTCCTTGAAGGTCAAGGTCACAGCATGACCTTGCAGCAAAATTGTGTCCGGCACTTAACTTCATTATTTGAAGTCGGATTTTACAACTATTTCACAAAAATGATCACCATATTGAGACAATGTGTCGTGCACAACATTTGGGTTATTTTTACACTTTGAACTTTGTCTGTGACATAACTCTGACACTACAAGAGGTATACCTTCCAGTGTCCAAAACCTATTCGGGGAGCATCACCCGGTTCAACTGGCTCTTGTTTTTATAATTAAAGAGTTTTTTGAACAGTGGTGTAGCTTCCTATAAGCTAAGGAAGTGAATTTAATAATTCTTAAAATCCTCTGACCATATTTTTTGTTTGTAATATATGAGAAAATGCACCTACACATAAGTTTGGACTAAGCTAAGCCTTTAGTTGCAATTGATCAGTTTATTTATGTTAAAAATAACTTTATTGACAGTATTTTAGGTGACAATTTCTTAATAAAAAAAAATGTTTTCATTATTTCAGATAATTCTTTTTTTATAATCCAAAATCTGTTTTTATATGCCCGAAAGGGCATATTATGTTATACCCCCTGGCGTCCGTTTGTCTGTCTGTCCGCACTACCGAATAGGGATAGGGGGCCATCTAACTGTAAACAGAACAAAGGAGAACAATAGAATTCATTCCGTAACAATAGAGTAAGGGGCCATTGGCCCTCTATTAAACAATAGAAAATAACAAAAGAAATGGCCCCTTATTCCATTTTGGCCGGACGTACGTACGTCCGTCCGTCCCTACGTCTTTGTCCGTTAGCAAATTGGTTTCCGGAGCATAACTTAAGTTCCATTTGGCCCACAATGTTCAAACTTCATAGGATGATTGTCCTTATTGGGTAGAAGACCCCTATTGATTTTGGGGTCAAAAGGTCAAAGTCACTATTACCTTAAAACTGAAAACAGTTTCCGGAGCATAACTTAAGTTCCATTCGACCCACAATGTTCAAACTTCATAGGATGATTGTCCATGTTAGGTAGAAGACCCCTATTGATTTTGGGGTCACAAGGTCAAAGGTCAAGGTCACTATTACCTTGATACTGAAAACAGTTTCCAATTGGCCCACAATGTTCAAACTTCATAGGATGATTGTCCATAGTAGGTAGAAGACCCCTATTGATTTTGGGGTCACAAGGTCAAAGGTTTAGGTCATAATTAATAACTATTAATCAACCTACAGCTGTAAAATTTTATAGGATGAACAGCGAATTCCCATGTCTTACAAATGCTTCATCCTTACTAAAAAAAAAACAACACTTTCGGGCATATAATACTCCGCCTAGCGGTGCTCGTGTTAATATTTCAGTTGATGTTTTTCTGTCATCCAAAATCTGTTTTCATTATTTCAGTTGATGTTTTCTGTAATCCAAAATCTGTTTTCAATATTTCAGTTGATGTTTTCTGTAATCCAAAATCTGTTTTCAAAATTTCAGTTGATGTTTTCTGTAATCCAAAATCTGTTTTCAATATTTCAGTTGATGTTTTCTGTAATCCAAAATCTGTTTTCAATATTTCAGTAACTGTTGATGTTTTCTGTCATACAAAATCTATTTTCAATATTTCAGATGATGGTTTCTGTAATCCAAAATCTGTTTTCAATATTTCAGTTGATGGTTTCTGTAATCCAAAATCTGTTTTCAAAATTTCAGTTGATGTTTTCTGTAATCCAAAATCTGTTTTCAATATTTCAGTTGATGTTTTCTGTAATCCAAAATCTGTTTTCAATATTTCAGTAACTGTTGATGTTTTCTGTCATACAAAATCTATTTTCAATATTTCAGATGATGGTTTCTGTAATCCAAAATCTGTTTTCAATATTTCAGTTGATGGTTTCTGTAATCCAAAATCTGTTTTCAATATTTCAGTTCATGGTTTCTGTAATTTAAAAAAATCTGTTTTTCAATATTTCAGGTGATGGTTTCTGTAATTTAAAAAAAAATCTGTTTTCAATATTTCAGTTCATGGTTGCTGTAATCCATAAATCTGTTTTCAACATTACAGGTGATGGTTTCTGTAATTTAAAAAAATCTGTTTTCAATATTTCAGGTGATAGTTTCTGTAATTCAACATTGTTTTTAATATTGCAGGTGATGGTTTTCTCAATGTGAGTAAAGATAAGGAAGATGTATTTGAGGCACACAATATATACAAGTGTTTATATAAAACACCAGAATGTGTTGCCTACAAGGGTTCAGTGCTGGCCATTGGATGCAGATTTGGTAAATTACTTGATGATAGTTTCTCTAACAAGAGCTGTTATTAGGACATCTTACTCGACTATTTTTAGTGCTTGATAGTTAAACAGCCTTGACAATGTAAAATTTTCTAAGTTAAAGAAGGGCCTATTATGCTCTAGAAATTACAACTTGTGTCAGTGGAGTTTGAAAATATTTGAGATGGTACGCAAACTTTAAATTTCTAAGTCCAAGCCGTTGCTCTGGTGACTAGGATAGCTCTACTTATTCTTATCGAATAAGTTATCTTAGCTTTATTATCCCCCGCCGAAAATTTTCGGCGGAGGATATAGAAATAGTCTCCGTCCGTCCGTCCGACCTTCCGTCCGTCCGTCCTTCCGTCCGACATTTTTGGCCGGAGCATATCTCTAAAAGTATTTGAGTTATCAACTTGAAACTTCATAGGTGGATAGACCTCATTGAGGAGGAGTGCAGTGCACAAGAATGATAACTCTACCTTGCATGATTTTTGAGTTATTGCCCTTTGTTATTTTTCAAAATTGATTTTTGTCCAGAGCATAACTCCAAAAGCCTATGAGATATTAACATGAAACTTCATAGGTGCATAGATCTCACTCAGGAGGTGTGCAGTGCACATGAATGATAACTCTACCTTTCATAATTTTTGAGTAATTGCCCTTTGTTATTTTTCATACCTAATTTTTCACCTGAGTGGAGCATAACTCAAAAAGTGTTTGAGATATCAACATGAAATGTCATAGGTGGATAGATCTTATTGAGGAGGAATGTTGTGCGCAAGAATGATAACTCTTCCCTATACAATTTTTGAGTTATTGCCCTTTGTTTTTTTTCATGCTATTTTGTCCAGAGCTTATCTCAAAAAGTATTTGAGGTATCAACTTGAAACTTCAAAGGTGGATGGATCTCATTGAGGAGGAGTGCAGTGCTTAAGAATGATAACTCTACCCTGCATTATTTTTGAGTTATTGCCCTTTGTTATTTTTCAAAATTAATTTTTGTCCAGAGCATAACACAAAAAGCCTTTGAGATATCAAAATGAAACTTCATAGGTGCATAGATCTCACTCAGGAGGTGTGCACTGCACAAGAATGATAACTCTACCTTTCATAATTTTTGATTTATTGCCCTTTGTTATTTTTCATACTTGATATTTCAATTCAATTTTTTTCTCAAAAAGTATTTGAGGTATCAACTTGAAACTTCATAGGTGGATAGATTTTACTGAGGAGGGATGCAGCACACAAGAATGATAACCTACCCTGCATTATTTTTAAGTTATTGCCCTTTGTTATTTTCAGCCATCAGTATTCACATAGGTTTCAAATCTGTAATCACTATAGCCATCAGTTTTCATTACCAAAAGACCTCTTTAAATGAAATTATTCTGTTCTACTACATATACATTCTTCCAATGAGCAAACACATTCGGCGGGGGATGGCCATGTTGACATGGCTCTTGTTGTTCTGATAAAGCATATTGAATTAGTGTGGGTTCAGAAGCTATTGAACATGTTGAATAGAATTATAAAATTATATTTAAACAAGCCTCTGGCAAGCTTAACAAGTTTATTCAACAAGTTTCAATAAGTTTAATAATGACATAATACAAGTTTAATATTCACATACCCATAATAAGAATAGTGTAAAGCCAAACAGTTGAAACTAGCACTGTGAAAATGCTGAGTGTAATGAATCATGGCCACCTGTGGATATATGGCATGCATCAAGAAAGTCAAATCCATATTACACCGTTATACAATATATATTGCAGTCCTCAGGCAATAAATTCAGATTGCAAAGTTAAATAAATTTTGTATCCCTAAATAGATCAATTAGTAAATACTAACATATGATGTAATACATTATAAATTTTATGTTATGTTTGTTAGGCCTTTCTTAAACTGCTGAAAATGAAAGTAAGTAGCCTTTGCCACCAGTAAAGATTCAGGCCAGCCTGTACATGTATGCAACCTGACCAGGCTCTTTACTGGTGGTAGCCAAATTTGTGAATTTTAATATTGAAACCCCTTAATCATTGAATGGACTGGTCCAAGTTCAAAGCAGGGCAAATCCATTACATAAATTCAGCAGGTGATATATAAAAAGTGATATAGTTATGTTACTTCCTACTTACAAAACACAAAATTATACATATTATATTAATACCAGTTTGTTATTAAAGTCATAAGTATAAAAAAAAATGTATTTTTAGGTGCTGTATACCTGTACCATCTTCCCCTAGACAAGGATTGGAATTGTCTGAATATAGCCAAGCCCACAAGGGTCATCCAGACGTCACAAGAACATATTCATGCTCTAGCTATAGATGACGATGGTGATGGACCATTTATTGTCATAGCAACAGAAAGTTACTCAATCTTGATCGTACAATTTAGAAGGCATAATGTGATGTTACAGACAACAACAAGCCATGTCCGGGAACGGTGACGGCTTTTGTTGCCGTCTGCTTTGCTCAAGTGATATTTATGTGCAATTACATTCCACTCACATTTTAAGAAGTCTTTCTTGATACAACCTTTTGGGGTATCCTACTTAATTTTAGGAACATTTTTTATTTTGAAATCTTGTGTTTTGGAAAAGTTACAATTTTGAAGAGTAATGTTTTCCGTTTATTGTGCTTCTGGGAATATTTGTGTTCAGGTGTCAATTTGTGGTTCCTTCAATCCAACCCTCCTTCCACCACACTTTTTTTCCATTTTTCAATTGTGACTTTTCTTATTAATTGATATTTTAGATATTTAGTACCTTCATTTATTGATTGATATTCAAGCTCCTTAACCTGTTTAAATTTCTGTGGATTTGCCCTGGAATTGGAATGGGGCATTCAGAGTTTTAAGGATTTCAATTTCAAAATACAAAAATCATTAGAGCTTCATGTACCAAGAGTTTAGAGCCTGGTGTCTAATCTAACATATATCTTTACCTTGGTAGGATCAAGGTCACACAGTCTATTACAGTCCAACCTCGTTTATTCGAAGAGCCTGGGACTGAATATTTACTTCGAATAATCGATGGGTTCGAATAATCGAAATCCTAATATTGTGACAGACGAAAACTACTGCACTTTGACCAATCGTAGCAAAACTACCGTTTACAACACACTTACTTCCTGTAATCAATTGAGAAAAATAAATATTAAAGAAAAGATGCGTAAAAATTATTGTATTGACATTGAAGCCATAAATACTTGCATTTTATTCTACATTTTGTATCGCTTCGTTTTGATAATGGCCATGTTGTCACTACGGTATTTACAGCTAAACTCTGGTATGTTCGATTAGGAAAAACCCTCATGTAGCGTAACAATTAATATAAAAAATGTGTTGGATGTTTTGACAAATTTACATAAACGTTATGTATGAAAATTATTGCTGTCATCTTCAAGCAATAATAACAGTAACAAAATCGGACACGGTGCATTGCTTTTCATTTTCGGTAATAAAAGTTGATTAAAGAACACACAAAGAGTTCTAAATACACGCATGACTGTTGATGTTTTTCACAAGTCGACCGGTCAGCGAGTGGATCTGCGCCAAATAGTCTGGCTTCGAATAATAATTCTTTCATAATTGTATAATCGGGACCGAAATTTTACTTTGAAAAATAGGAGGTATTCGGATAATGCATTTCGAATAATACGCTCGTATTTATATTGATTTATATAGAGGTAAAAACGGGACCACCGATCAACTTCAGATAATGCCGGGTATTCGAATAAAGGGTTGTCGAATAACCAGGGTCGGACTGTAATAGGGTTTCCTACATTTCATTATGCATACTTGACCTCTATTTTTGGGTTAATTGGAAGTAGGTGTGATCAAAGTCACTAGGGCAAAAAAATAAAAATAAAATAATAAAATTTTCTTAGATTTTTCTGGGGTATGTATGACCCCTATGTAGACTAGTAACCAAAGATGAGGTTTTTATATTGTCGTGGTTACAGATGCTGGAAACATATCTAATCATTATTGAGGGGCATCTATTAGCAGCTTTGATATTCTTTCAATTTTTATTTAGTTTTTATATCTTAATGATTTTTGTTGAATTGGTTGTTATTTTCTTATGTAGGATGTATTCCACTTTTTATTAGAGATATTTTATTTTTCTATATAACTGTTGCAAAATTGTAGAAAACATTTACAAATAACTACTTTTACAATTAATTTTCTATTTTTCCTTAAAGGGACTCCATTGAGATTTTTTTGATACTCATTGACAGAACTGTTTAAAGTAAAAAGGATAATTTTTTCACTACCCGGCTTTTAGTGTAATGCTTACATTTAGTGTGCCTTCACGCTATGTTTGTATAACACAAATTACTTCAGGTCAAAATATATTCCCAGTTGTGCCATACCATTTTTATGGAGTCGCAAAAAATGGCATAGGTATGTGATAAAATAGGTTATTAACCCTTAACATGCTGGAGCCTGAAGTGGTTAGCCTCTGCCACCGTGCAGGCTGACCATGCTTCATACTTCTGGCTGACATAACTTTAAAATTTCATCTTAATATTATATTCCAAAAATTGATAATGGACAGTACCAAATGGAATGTTCCAAAAAAGGTAGCTGGAAAAATCCATTTAAGAAATTTAGCAGATTAAAGGTTTAGAATTAACAAAATATAATGAGCTGAAAAAAAAAAATTCAATTTTGCTTGAGGTACTTAAGGTAAATTTTAAATGTGTACTGTTAGTCAATTTTAAGGCCCCTCCCTCCAAAGATATTTAGTTTTGTTTCTGGTCACCCTTTCTACCCACTTTTTTGACTGCTCACTATCATGTTTTTTATTTGCACTTTTGCAATATTTACACTATATTTATATTAAATTATATTTGAAAAAAATAAAAGTAACTCATTCCAACCTATCTACCTTTTAACTCACCTGTCACAAAGTGACATGGTGAGCTTTTGTGATCGCTTTTCGTCCGGTGTCCGTAAACTTTTACTTTAAATGATTTCTCCTCATAAACCGCTAAGCCAATTTCATCCAAACTTCACAGGAATGTTCCTTTGGTAGTCAACTTTGAAACTTGAAAGAATTTGATTCCAAGCAGAACTCTGGTTGCCATGGCAACCGAAAGAAAAAACTTAAAAATATCTTCTTTTAGAAAACCGAAAGAGCTAGAGCTTAAATATTTAGCATGAAACATCATCTAGTCAGTGTCTACCAAGTTTGTTAAAATAAGTGCCCTTGAGTCAAAATTGGCCCTGCCCCAGGGGGGTGGGGGTCATTGATTTTCCTTATTTGTATATAGTAAAAACTTTAAAAAATCCTCTTTTAAAAAAACAAAATAGCTAGAACTTAGATATTAAGCATGAAACATCTTCTATTGGGTGTCTACCAAGTTTGTTCAAATAAAAGCCCTGGGATAAAAATTGGCCCCGCCCCAGGGGGTCATTGTTTTTTCCCTTTATGTATATAGTAAAAACTAAATAAATATTCTTTTAAAAACTCCAAAGAGCTAGAGCTAAGATATTTAGCATGAAACATCTTCTAATGGGTGTCTACCAAGTTTGTTCAAATAAGGACCCTTGGGTTAAAATCGGCCCCGCCCAGGGGAGGGGGGTGTCATTGATTTTCCTTATATGTGTATATAGTAAAAACTTAAAAAATCTTCTTATAAAAACCCCAAAGAGCTAGAGTTTAGATACTAAGCATGAAATATCTTCTAGTGAGTGTCTACCAAGTTTGTTAAAATAAAAGCATTGGGGTCAAAATTGGCCCCTCTGGGGGGGAGTCATTGTTTTTTCTATATGTATGTAGTAAAAACCTAAAACAATCTTCTTGTAAAAACCCCAAAGAGCTAGAGCTTAGATATTTATCATGAAACATCTTCTAATAGGTGTCTTAGTTTGTTCAAATAAAAGCCCCTGGTTTAAAATTGGCCTATATACAGGTGAGCGATTTCAGGGCCATCATGGTCCTCAAGTTATGGTCATAGACCAGATATGGGACTTTTGGTTAGCCCAAGTCTAAATTAATTAAAAATAATACAAAAATCCTAAAAATTATTTTGTGGCATAAAGAACAACATTACATATAGTTGGTCTTTGTTTATGAAATTATAAAAGTTAGTATTGTGTTCATAACAAATTGTAAAAAAAATTATATGAAAGTCTTATTTAGCATACAGTCATGTATGATGAATATTTGAGTCACTGCCTGTCCTGGTGTTTATGATAATTTTAGAATAAGATCGTTGTGTGGAAATTTTAGTTGTTAAGTTTAAGATCTGATTCACTTATGTTAAGTAATATAATACCTATAGGGCCCTATAGGTATAATATATTTCAGTATATACATGTATTACTTAATTTTTGTTAAGTTTTAGTTCAATTTCATTTATGTTAAGATCACAGTAGTCTAGAATATTTTATTTGTTTTTTTTATGTTTTTTTTAATTAAAACAATATATGAGATATGTGGTGTTAATTAATTTTTCATGGGAACATATGTTTTACCACGGATTTACATTACATTGTAATATAAATCCGTGGTTTTACTTAACAAAGAGTGTAAGTGATGCGAATATGGCTTGCCTTTGTGATCAATGTACATAGAGTGAGGCCAATCTGAATATCCATGCTGTTTGTCAAGAGTATGTACCAAGAGCTGTATACAGTGAAACCTGATTAAAGGCCAAGCAAAGGAAATACCATACATGGCCTTCATAGACAAGTGGTCTTTATTTGGAGTTAATTACGTGTATTTAAATCAATGAAGGTTTTGAAAAGGTGGTCTTATTTACAATGTGGTCTTTAACTCGGTGTTTACTGTAATTTTAGCATGAGCACTTGAAGAAAAAATGGTGGTATCTTGCTCACCTTGTGCTATCTTGTGCCTGTGTAACACTTGGTTTTAGTTGTATGAAGTTTTAAGTCTGCCATGCTCAATGAAACCATGGACTTTAATTGACAATTGTGATGAAACTGTGTCTGCAACATTTTCAATTTGGTTGTTTTGGATGTTCTTGAGGGATTATATTTGTATTTCTACTGAATGGTTTCCTTTATGAAATTTCAAGAAATCTTCATTATCAAGGCTATTTATTTACTATAAAGCAGAGAATTATAGCCGAGTGTATGTGCAGTCTGAATGCCATTACTTGTTCAATATCCCTTGTATACACACAGAAGACATTTGTTAAATATTAGCATAAATCCTACCCTGCTGGATCCGAAAATGATTAGCCATTGTCATCAGTAAAGAGCCTGGTCAGCAAGCACATCTGTGCAGTCTGTTGGCAGCTAAATTTTGTGCCTCCACAATAGATTTACCCTTGTCGGTCCGTCCGTCCGTTCTCTTTTTGTGTCGCACCTAGCTCAAAAAGTAATTGACCTAGAGTCATGACACCATACCAGAATGTTGCTCAGCATGTGTAGTTGTGCACCTGGGTATTTTTGTGTGGATATTTTTTAGAGTTATTGCCCTTGACTTAGTAAAAATTTGCAATTTTCAACTTGTGTCGCATGTAACTCAAAAAATATTTGACCTAGAGTCATGAAACCTTACAGGAATGTTGATCAGCATGTGTAGTTGTGCACCTAGGTATTTTCGTGTGGATATTTTTAGAGTTATTGCCCTTGACTTAGTAAAAATTTACAATATTCAACTTGTGTTGCATATAACTCAAAAAGTATTTGACCTGTAGGCCTAAAATTAACAAGAATGTTGATCAACATGTGTACCTATGCACCTTGGTTTTTTGTGGATTTATTCAGTATTTGTAGTATTTGCTCTTAACTTAATAAAAGATTTTTAGTTTTCAACTTGGGCACATGTAGCAAAAAAAATAAATTTGACCTAGAGACATATTGACAAATCGGTGGAGTGTGGGGGCACCCGTGTCCTAGCTATGGACACATATCTAGTTGTATTTTGAAATTGAAATCCCTTAAACTTTCAATGGACTGTTAAAAGCCTTTTAAGGTGGTGGAGAATATAGAGACTTCTGGTTTACCCCTCCATGTACCGTACTTCTATTGCTAAAATAACCAACAAGTGAAAGGCATTAACGCAAAACTAAACTTTCCGTTAATAATAAATGGTATCGTGAGTAGTTGTACACAAACAATGCTTTTTCTAATACAACAAAATGAGACTTAATTTCACCAGAAATTGATACATGTGTAAATCACAAAGCTCCAGGCATTTGTGACTTTACTTCTTTAAAAATCAAGTTTATAAACCACTTTCAGAAATATAGGAGGATTTTCACACAAAAGAATGTTGCCGTTGACATGAGTGTTATGATGGCCCTTTTTCGCTCATCTGATTTTTACCGCAGAGGCACATAGTGTTACATAATTTTTTTGACAAGGTCCATAAGGCAGTTATATGCTAATGCCATGTTGTTTCGAATTAACAGGTTTAAGTCTGTTTTCCCATTTATTTCTATAGAAAATGTTCAGTTTGGCACACCCAAAAATATCCAGTTGCTAGTGGATTGACGAAAAAAAAGACAGAACGTCAAATTTTCGAAGTGAACATTTTTCCTGATCATTTTCAGACGGCTTCACGAAAATACATAAAAAAGAAGGGGGTTACCATTTTCTGCAGAAAATGTTAAGTTTTGCGCACTCGAAAACATTTATTTGTACGGTTAACGAATCGGGGCATGTTCAATTTGGCGCACACACTTTTAAGTATTATGTAACTGTATTAAGGGCTAAAAAAAACAGTGAAAAAAAAAAAACGTCCAGTTACTCACTAAACCGTGAGTAAATCAATTATTTTCTTTTCTTATTTACTTCTAAACAACACCAAAAAACCTCATTATATATCGGCGGGTTCATGATGATGAAATCAACTGAAAATACACAATGTATCTGAAACTAAGGAAAGGCCCAGAACACAAATAGGGTGGATGTGAAGGGAAGATGTATGTTTTTCTTCTTTAATTTTACCAAATTTATTCTACCAATTACAGACCAGAGTGAAGCTTTTACACATATACTCACCTTATATACCGTACATGCACGTGAAAATCTTCAAAATTATAAATTGAATGTGTAACAGATTAAATAGAACTAAAGTAAAATCATAAATATTTGCTATAAATACATGTATAAGAAACCATAAACTACATATTGTTCGCAACGAAAATAATTTCATTTTCCGAGACGAGCATTTCTTTCTAAACATTTCCGATCCGCTTTTTAAAAACGCCCGATCACCGGCACGAGTATCGGACCTGGGAAGAAAATATGACCACATTGATAAAACCTCTATGATAATCTTAAATGTGTTAACCCCCCCCCCCCCCAAAAAAAAAATGCCCCCCTCCCCCTTAAAAATATACTTTAAGTTAACTTATAGGGGTGCAAAAATTTTCTTCTCTCTCTTTTTTTTTTTTTTTTTTTTTGGACACAGTTAAGATGAACACAGAGTTTTTTTATTTGTTTGGGTCGTCAGACCAAACAAATAATGGTAAATTTTAGCGAAATTTCAGACTCTAATGCTGTTAATTGCAATTGCCGAAAGTAGTCCGCTTTTTTGAAGCGGTTACTTCCCTTTATATGTACACTAACGCAGACAAATTCAGGGGAGATCACTCCGTAAAGATGGTCAAATGACAGGCGCATTAATTTTCAAGCAAAATAATTCCCGAATGGTCGAAGATTTCTAATATTGTTTTATTCTTTATATAGTAAGCTCCATGATTATTTACATCTGTGTTACGTCGTTACAGTCCCAATTTAGAATAATATGGTTTTCTTCAGACCGTTATCATATAAATTCACCGTGGCCGAGGGGTTTGCACGCTCGGTTAGGAAGCGAAAGGTCTGGAGTTCAAATCCCAGTCAAGGCAACTCATATTTTTTCCAAATTGTTTAAATCAAATAAACATTGGATTGAATATCAGTGTTGCAATTAGTCTTATAGCCAATTTACTACAATTAAAACGCTGGAAAGCATTGATGCCACTATACAAAAACAAATTGGTTTATAATCTCACAACCTTCACCTTTCTGACATTCTGAGACCCAAACAAATTCAGCGCCTTCTGTGCTTTGATTTATCAACGTGGTCATATTTTCTTCCCAGGTCCGATACTCGTGCCTGTGCGTCGATTGAAACGTCCGTATGAAGACATTTAGAAGTGGTTGCGTGCATTTGATATGCATATTCAGCATTGAAAATTTAGAAACTATATTTAAGAATACTATGTTGTGGCCACAAGTTACTAAGTCGTGCGCACGAGATAATTAAGTGATGCGCACGAGATACTATATGTCGTGGTCACGATCGAGTTACTATAAAGTCACACATATAATAAGTCGATAAATTAAAAAAAAAATATTTGTGTTTTCCTTATCGTGAACTGGTCTACAATGGAATGTATGTAATACAATAATTTATAGCGTTGATAGTGTTTAGTATGTGATTAAACAACAAACCTCGAAACGAATTATATGTGGATTTTGTTGCTTGATACATGGTCCAATATCATGTAGTAGATAATAAACTATTCTATATAACACATAATTATTTTTCATCATATAAATGGTCATACCATAAAACTATTTCACATTACTTGATCAATATTTTTTCAAGCAATATATTCGAAGAATATCCAAATGATACATAATTATTCAATTCTGATGGAAAATGCCCATTGTACAGCTCAAGGGAAGTAACCGCTGCAGAATGGGGGTCGTATTGTAGCTGTTCCGTCCGTGTTTTAGACTGAGCCATAGTCGACTCTGCATCGATTTTCTATCGATTTTTTCGTGTCATGAATATGAAAATACAGCCCTGTTACGAGCGCCATATTGCTAAATCCTAGATTTGTTGTGTGATGCATGCATTGCGATTTTAGCTGATCTATGTGCGTAAATTTCTTCGAAATAAAGGTAGTGTTTTTGTCAAGTTTTTACATTTCGGATTGTGTAAATTTTCGGATAAATACAAAGTTTTACCATCTATTACTTTACATCTGTTCGTTGACATTTGTCAAATTTTTCATAAAAATCTTAGGTAAACCTGACAAGTTGTATCTGAAAGTATTTATCACCTAAAACCATTTAAGAAGGGGCTGTTTGAGTAATTAATGATTCATAATGCTGGATACTTTGATACGTTCCATAATTTCAGACCACAGGAACTTGAAATTCTATCAATATTAACGATAATATGCAAAATATACCCCCCCCCCCCATATAATATAAAAAACTTAGTATATGTGGGGTATTTTTGGATATTTACATTAATAATTATATTGGTTATTTGATAAAATTTCAAGTTCCAGTATTTCTGACATATTACAGTATTACTGATTAAGTACAGCCTGGTAAGTAAGATTAATGATTTTGCCTGTGATTGCTGTGTTTTTAATGTTGGTTTTCCTTGGAAATGAAGACAACAGCTAGTAAATGTGTTTTGAGATCCGAAACAAACTGAAAATGTAATGAGCTTCATAAATACATATATTATCTTTTCTGACATTGCATTTTATAGGCACCCATTTTATAGCCTTTATGTCAAGCATTTGTAATTATTTATTACATTATGCCAGGTATGTATGGAAAAGAGTCAACTCGGCCCTATACCAATTCGGCACGGGTCAACTCGGCACGGGTCAACTCGGCCCACTTTACAAAAATATATTAGGTATTAAATTTGCTTTATTATATTATTACACTTCTGCCGAAATAAGTACATTTAGATTTTTAGCTCACCTGAGCTTGCTCAGGGTGAGCTTTTAGGATCGATGAATGTCCGTCGTCCGTCCGGCCGTCCACAATTGCTTGTGAACACTCTAGCGGTCGCATTTTTGCCTCAATCATCATCAAACTTGGTCAGGATGCTTATCTAGTTGAAAGCTCGGATGAGTTCGAACATGGGTCATCTCAGATGAAAAACTAGGTCACAAGAGCTAAAAATAGAAAAACCTTGTGAACACTCTAGAGGTCACATTTTTGACCCAATCTTCATCAAACTTGGTCAGGATGTTTGTCTAGGTGATAGCTCGGATGAGTTCGAACATGGGTCATCTCGGATGAAAAAGTAGGTCACAGGAGCTATAAATAGAAAAACCTTGTGAACACTCTAGTGGTCACATTTTTGAACCAATCATCATCAAACTTGGTCAGAATGCTTGTCTAGTCAATTGCTTGGATGAGTTCGAACATGGGTCATCTCTGATGAAAAACTAGGTCACAGGAGCTAAAAATAGAAAAACCTTGTGACCACTCTAGTGGTCACATTTTTGACCCAATCATCATCAAACTTTGTCAGGATGCTTGTTTAGATAATAGCTCGGATGAGTTCGAATATGGGTCATCTCGGATGAAAAACTAGGTCACCGGAGCTATAAATAGAAAAACCTTGTTAACACTCTAGCGGTCACATTTTTGCATCAATCATCATCAAACTTGGTCAGGATGCTTATCTAGTTGATAGCTTGGATGAGTTTGAACATGGGTCATCTCGGATGAAAAAGTAGGTCACCGGAGCTAAAATAGAAAAACCTTGTTAACACTTTAGCGGTCACATTTTTGCATCAATCATCATCAAACTTGATCAAGATGCTTGTCTAGGTAATAACTCGGATGAGTTCGAACATGGGTCATCTCGGATGAAAAACTAGGTCACAGGAGCTAAAAATAGAAAAACCTTGTTAACACTCTAGTGGTCACAATTTTGACTCAATTGTCATCAAACTTGGTCAGGAAACTTGTCTAGGTCATTGCTGGGAATAAATCGAACATGGGACATCTCGGATGAAAAACTAGGTCACAGGAGCTAAAAATAGAAAAATATTGTTAACACTCTAGTGGCTTCTGTTGTGATCCAAATATTCTGTTAATTGGTCTGAAAGTTTGTTTTGATGATTTCTAAGTCAAGATCGAACATGGGTCATCTTGGATGAAAAACTAGGTCACACCGCCCAAATATGGAAAAACCTTGTTAACATTCTAGTGGTCACATTTTCGACTCCATTATCATCAAACTTGGTCAGAATGCTTGTCTAGGTAATTGCTTGGATGAGTTGGAAATCGCATGTGAAACTAGGTCACCGGAGCTAAAAATAGAAAAATCTTGTTAACACTCTAGTTGCTACTGTTTTGATCCAAGTATCCTGGAAATTGGTCTGAAAGTTTGTTTTGATGATTTCTAGGTCAGGTTTGAATATGTGTCACCTGGGTAAAAAACTAGGTCGCACTGCTCAAATATGGATAATCCTTGTTAACACTGTAGTGGTCACATTTTTGACTCACCTGTCATGAGACTTGGTCAGAATGCTTGTCTAGGTAATTGTTTGGATGAGTTTGATAATTCAGGTGAGCGATCTAGGGCCATCATGGCCCTCTTGTTTTTTTATTTATTTGTCTTGCAGATTCGATAAAATTAATATAGATCTAATAAAAATGTGTTTCCTTAGATGCATTTTGTTTGTAAAGTAATATTCAAACAAAATGAAACAAAAACGTGTTTACTTCATATCATAAGCTTCTAATTAATTGCAGGTGGTACCTAATCAAATGAATGAATGAGTCAATCATAATTATCACCTAATTAATCGGTATGCTTAACATACACACTGATTGATAATAATAGCCCGTAACAATAAATATTTCAACACATTGTTTGACACTTAAGGTATTTAAATTTACGGTTAAACCTACCACGAGTCAGAAATACAGTGAGATACGCAAACGATTATCTTTACTCGCAATTCCACGGGTAAGAAAAGCCTGTCTGCTGCTAGTTCGGAAACTGTCAATATGTGTATTATAAATAATTACAATAAATAGTGATAAAAACTTAAATATTAATAATTGAAAAGTGGGCCGAGTTGACCCGTGCCGAGTTGGAATAGGGCCGAGCTGACTCGGGGGCCGAGTACGTTTTAGGGCCGAGCTGACCCGGATTCGTATGTATACATGTATTATAATTAACAGGTGTTCTCATTATAAACAGATTGGCAGTCCATATAACTAAAATGCTGTAAAATGGTTCGTATTTTCAGCCTTTAGATTAAAATATTCCCGGTTCCCCTTGACCTTTTGGCCAAATCCATTGTTTTCTTTGGCACATCTGTGGCTTCAAAAGAAAATGAAAACCTTGTATAATTATATTAACAATATATATATACTTGATTATACATTGTAAATCATCTGATAATTTTCAAAGTTCAGATTTGTTCTCACAATTGTTTTATTGTTTTCAGTGGCAGTATGGAGGTCATTGACAGATTTATGCTGGATCAGAAAATAGAATCAGTAAAGGAAGATCCAGTTAAAAGGCAGATCCTTCGAATTATACTGAAGTATGAAATGCAGACACTGGTAAATATATTACATGTTGTAGATCTTATCACTTACAAGTAATCATTTTGTTTTAAGAGGTTGATTAATGAAACAATACTTTTGTTAAGGGTGTTAATAAACTCAGGTAATCTTACAGTCAAAAATATATTGTTCATAAGATGGCAGGTTCAACTATATTGAATGTAATAAGCTGACAAAATGTCCTTTGTTGCCTTTAGGTAAATTAATATTTGTAAATATTTATTTAATTTTGTAAAAACAAAACAAATTCAACACATTCTACTAGTTTTAACTTTCAAATGTCTTTATCAGAAATGAAAATCAAGAACATACATAAATTATGTAATGTCCGTTTTGGTGGTAACGTTGATGTGACATTTAGCGTAAATATACATAAATACAGATCAAAGTGATAGTTTTTAGAATCAAATTTTTTTTTTTCAATATAGAAATGGTCATGGCTTGTCATGGTATATAGAAATATAAATATTTCAGATTCAGAGGCTTGCAGAAATCGGGGAAGAAAGTGTTGTCTTAACAGCTAATATTATTGATGGTACTCATTCTGTACTCTCCTCCGACCATGGGGAGAAATTCATGCAAGATGAAGTTGTCTCCCATTTCATGGACCATTTTGTTCGCTTCCTATTTACAGGTTTGTATATACATTTAGTTATCTTCATAGTTATTATCATGCAAGTGGCATGTTGTTATACCAAAGCTTATGCATTTTCAATTGATTATGGATTAATTAAATGTATGAAAATTATGGGAGTGTCTGTGGCTTAAGTTGGTTGTTGGCTTCAAACCACTTGACCCTCACGGCTGTGGATTCCTTCATGTGAGGAAGCTATCCAGCTAGCTTATGGAATGTTGATGGTTCTATTGAGGTGCCAGTTTGTGCCTGAAATAATGAATGGAAGGGCACCTGAGGTATTCCTCCAACATTAAAGCTGGAAAGTCGCCATATGACCTGTTGGTGTGACATAAAACCCAACCAAAAAAAATATTAAAAAAGTAAAAATTATGTCAAATCTTGATATCGGTTTACCATTCCTAATGCTTATCATCATTGATAAGGAAATCTTTATCATCAGATGAAAGACTGAATTTTCACTTTGTACACTAAGAATTTATAAAGAAAAAGTGGAGTAATGACATAATATATACGTAAATTAATAATGTCCCATTTTCTAGGTCTCGATTTATTGAAGTGGTGAATGAAATTAACAAAGATAAGTTAAGAAATTGTGATTTTTAAAAAGGGACCTTTATTTACAGGACTATGATATTGTTTGTCTGTCAGCAAGTACAGCAACATAATTTATTTTTGATATCCGCGTTTTCACAATTGATTTTTATACACCCAAAGGTGTTAGGGGCCTAATATGGTATGACACTTTTCTGTCTGTCCCTGCAAGCATCCAATGGTCTGTCAATAATTTTGCATGTAGTATAAGAGGGGAAACCACATAAACCATCATTTTTACTGGTATATGTTCTGATAAGCAAACATTTTGAGTTTTTCTTTAATCTTTATGTGGCATATATAACATAAACCAGTGAAAGATAAATTACAGTTTATGCAATTTAGTTCTTTTATTGCCCCTTCCATGTTAATAGCAAGGGGGGGGGGGGGCATATACTGTTATCCCTGCAGTCCATCTGTGCATGTGTTGACAAACCTTGTCAGGCCCATTAGTCATGCTTCAATGGATTTTGAAAAGACTACACAAATATGAAACATCATTAGATGATGTGTCAAGGTCTAAGTTAATTTAAAGGTCCAAGATAAGCAGTTAGAAAATCTTGTTAACCCAGTAAATCTGTCATGCATCATGGTATTTTAAAATAACTAGGCTTAAAAATCTAGCATGATGAGATAGTGTGTCATGCCCATTACCTAGACCCTTAGCTCAAAGGTCAAGGCCACAAGAAGAGAGTCAGCAGTAAGGAAATCTTTGCCAGCTCATAACTCTATCATGCATCAAGGAATTTTGTAATAACTTGAGAAGAATGTAAAGCATGATAAGATGGTGTCACAAGCATGATCTAGACTCTTAGCTCAAATGTCAAAGTAACTCTAAAAGGTCAAGGTCAGCAGTTTAAAAATTTTGTATGGCCTATAATTCTGTCATGTTCTGAGGGATTTTGAAATAATTTGGCACAAATGTGAAGCTTGATGAGACGGTGATGAGACCTAGACCCCTAGCTCAAAAGTCAGTCAGACTAAGAGTTCAAAGGTCATCAGTTTGAAAATCTTGCCAGGCCCATAAATTTGTCATGCCTCAAGGGATTTGAAATAATTTGGCACAAATATGTAGCATGATGAGATGGTTTGTCATGCACAAGACATAGAACCCTAGCTCCAAGGTCAAGGTCATACATAGAGGTCAAATTTAACCAGTTTGAAAATCTTGTCCGATCTGTAACTGTCATGCATCAAGGAATTTTTGAAGTCAGTTGTTATTAACAGCCATTTGTCCTTACTTTGAAAGTCTTTTATTGCAAAAATATTCCAGAAAGGTCTATGAAGTGCCAACTATGCTGTTTTGTCATAACATCTTTATTAATATTATTCAGTGTCCTAACATTCATATTGGGGACATCGGTGTCTTTCACACACACTTCTAGTCGCAAGTATGATTATGGATGGAATGAAGCTTTAAATCATTGGATGTCTGTCCATTATTCACATACATGTACATGTGTAGATGCTGCTCAATAACTTGATAAGTATAAGGTGTGCTGTCTTCATTCTTTCTGGAGAGGATCGTCATGGCAAGTAAATGACCTCTATTTTTTTAGGTCATTATGCCAAAGGTCAAGGTCACAATGACACTAAGTGTAAAATCCTTGTTGTCCCAGTAACTTTAGAAAAAATTAGCAAAGGTTTGTGAAACTTGTTTGGGTTAGTAGATGAAAAGCTAAATAACTTAAGAAGGCATAAGTCTACATTTGTGAATCTTGTTAAAATTCCTGGCCAATAAATTAAGAAGGAACAGCCCTTGTGAAACTTGGTAGGTGCATTCCTTATGGACAATAGATGACTCCTACATATATAGGCATTAAGAGGTCAAAGTTTAAGGTCACAGTGACATGTAATGAAAATCCTTGTCTGATCAGATGCGTATGTTTGTATAACTTGTTAAAGACATTGCTTATAGCAAGTTGATGACTGCTTATAATTTTGAGATCATTTAGTCAAAGGTCAAGGTCACAGGTACACTTGTGTGATAAATTTGTTCTTGTTGTTTTCTGTTTTTCTCAAATAAGTCCTATCACATTGTACATCTTACAACAGCACATTCTGTGTGATGTTTGATCAAACTTTTTATCTTCCCCTCTTTGGCATCTTGTTATTTCAATCAAGGCATACATATATAAAAGGCTCTGTACATTTCAACAAATCAGCAATACTACAATGTAACTGATTACAGTTTTAAATAAAGGTTTATCTCTTTACAGGTGAATTACAATATATACCAAAAGAAGAGGGTGGTGCCCTTGACAGCTGTAAGTTCAAACAAAGTACTTGTGTACAAGGTGTAAACCAGTCTGCATCCTCAGTTAGCTCTGAAGAGCCAGAGACATTCATGCACATGAAAAAACATCAGATAGAACAATTCAACAGACAGAAAGATTATGAGGACAAAACTATTGACGAAACCGTATCCCAATTGGTGAAAAACATTTTACGGGAGGGTAAAGAGAAAGAGAAAAAAAATATTGGTACTGTATTATGTGGTGCAAGCCGGCAACCGATGAGGAGAAAGAGATCGTTTAACTTCCATAATTCATTTAGAAAAGGTAGAAATGTTACAGAAGGATGCTCAGAAGCAAAGAGGGTACAGATTGCTAACTTCTTTCCAACGTTATCCCCAATGCATGGAAGGAGTGAAAGTAATGAGAGTATGGTTTCTTCTTATATAACAAGCCAAGAGAATGATAATAGTAGTCTAGAAGGAGATGAAGATGAAGTTATTACAATCAAGATTGAACCTAATGATTTGGATGAATACGGTGGATCACATGATGTTAATATTGATGATAATTCTGCAGAGGATTTGTCTCAAGATAAAGATTATATCATGAATGTTGAAAGTGATTGTTCAAACCAAGATAAGACTGTTAGGGAAAGTGATGAAAGTTCTAGATCTGCGAATTCCACAGGCTCTGATGACAAAATTATTGTTCAAAGAAATAGTTTCCATGACAAAAGTTTTGAGGAATCAGAAAAGCAAGAAGTTTCATGTAGTGGTGAGACTGATGGAATTAGAAAAAGTGGAGTTATTGAAATAACATCTGAAAAGAATGAAGAAGAAGAAGAAATTACTCTTCCAATGGTGGAGGAATTCTATCAGAATAGGGATAAACCTTTGGAAGATTTGAAGTTCGTTGCAATTGAAAAGAGTACTAATACGCCAACATCACCAAAGGAAAATTGTATGTTAAAGTTCAGTTATAATATTTTTAGCATTAACATTATGATAATTCCACAGTGTGAAGGGGTTTAGGGGTTTATATAAATAAGCATTTCTTTTCTTCAGGTGATATGTGCCAATCTTTTTTTAAATGGTCTGTGGATAATTATACCCTAAAAGTTTTAATTCAGATAAAGATACTTGTTTGAAACTGCTTGCCATTGACACAGAAGGTTTCACCGTTTGAGCATTAAAAAATGATATCCTCAGAAACTACTGTGCCTGTAGCTAAGAAATGTCATATCTATCCTGGACAGACACAATAATGTACACACTTTATAGCCACTAAAAATTAGAAATAAAAATACAAGCTCACAACTTTGGGGGGATGCTAAAATTGTTTAGAATACTCATTTATAAGAATGTTATATTATCTGTATTTATGGTAATTTGTTTTCAGATGTAAGTTGTTATAAGCAGTCACGAAAGAAATCCAACACATTTAACCTAGTGCTGAATGGATATCTATACATTAAGGATAAACAAAGCAGTACTGGAACAGTTTACTGGAAATGTGGACGGCCTGGATGTAAGGGGCGTGTCATACAGCGCGGCCAGGAACTTATCACTTCGCAGGTGCACATACATGAACCATTTGATTGATGGTGAGTTTCATGCAGAGATTATTTATAAGTGTGTGTGTATTTGATAATTGTTAGTAATTAATCAATTGGACTTGGTCTTTGAAATTGGTTTTGACAATTTTTTCACGACAGAAATGGTGCTGCTACAGAGAGATGTTAATATTTTGTGATATTAAATAGCAGTTTAAATGTTGAACTCTCACTCTATAGATGAAGTGAACATGTATTTTCTTTTTCAGACATTATATATGAAAAGAAGTAGAGATGTCAGATATTTCTCAAGTGATGAGTGCAAGACAGTGAACTTATAGACAAGGCATTCCATTAAAGTCTGTAACAGCATTGTTGAGAACGTAACACTAAAAGTGAGCTAGCTATTGAAATCTGTCAAATGTTCATCAGCCAGCATCCATCATCAACACTTTGTTTTAAAGGCGGCAGAGGTCAAAGTTTTTATAGATCCTTAAAACTTTGTCAGAATGCTTTTTGATATAGTGTATGTTATACAAGTGTGAACATGTGCCATTGAAGTCAATTATCACTAGAGGATAGGAAGAATGAACGCTGTTGACATTGTAGAGACCACATTTTCTTATGAAGTTGTAATATTTCTTAATTTTTATCATAAGAGTTAAGATTTGCACTTGACAGTGTACAAGGTGAAAATTTGTTAAAATCGTCTCTATTGTGGTGGATTACTCGGCTTAAGATGGCTTCATTGGTCCTCTTGCTTATGTTGCATTGTAATATTAAATGGAGATGTGAGTTGGCCCAAGAGAATCATACCTTATTAAGATAGAGCAAATTTTCATGCACAGAATTTTGTCAAGTTGATTTTTCTTCAGATGAAATCAATGTTTCTTTTTATTAATTGAGAGGGTGTTAGCTTTGAAAGTTTGAAGATGCACTGAAGATAAAAACATTTTGAAAACCAAAGTTATGTTAATTACAGTAATAGAGAGTGGACCAAAATTCAAGAACGCTTTATTTTTGCCTACAATATCTGATTAGTGACTGAGTTTGCAATTCAAATGAAATGATTTCCAGTAGTAGTTTAAAAATAGAGAAGACTTATTAGTATGTTTTTACCTATCTAATTCTACCTGTACACTATGTTCCCGGCTGTCACGCCAATCATGTTTCGAGAACGAAATGAACTGGAGTAAACGCTTTTGCTACGTTTTGTTACGGTTTTCACGACATGCTTGTGTGCAGGAAGCCGTTTTGTAACGTTTCAATTACGATGTGCCTCGGTTTGTGACGATTTGCAGCCTAATGCGTAAATGAAAGTTGAGCTCTGACAGGTTTGTGTGGTTTTGAAAAGACTATAAAAAGCTGATCGCAGCAGAAGAGGTTCACTTGATTTGATCTTTTGCATGAAATCTTATTAATGGAGGGCAAGTGCATAGGTGCTCTTCACCAGACATGTAAAAGAACCAAGTTCGCCTCTGGAATGGAGCAATTGCTGTACTGCCCTGGAAATAACATCCAAATCTTAGGGGTATCCAGTAGAAAACCAAAATGCGACAGTTTAGAAAAAAGGAGAGATTCATTTGAGTCTTAGCACATAACGGTACCCAGCACACGATTTTTGGCCTAATTGCTGACGTAATAAAACGATCTTTGTTGTCTATGCCTCATGTATCTTAATACAATGATTGAAGTATTCTTATACCGTGGAGACAAACGTCCTCTAAAGTCATCCGGCGTTCATGTTGAATATATTGACGACGTGTCAGAACTGGATGAAGACATTAACAAAGTACATGGATTCTCGTAGATTGTGGCCCGAACTCATAGAATATCCTACTCTTCAACGGCTCATCAGGATACCGTGATAAACCGTGGTGGACAACGTAAAAATCTTGGATATGGAGTCATAAGTTGACAAAATCCAACAGTGCATTACAGGGAACAGCAGGGAACATTGTGTTAAAGGTTGTAAACCTAACATAGTCAGTGTTTTTATTCGAATAATGTAAGGTTAAAACATTGTTTTGGTTTGAGTATGATTAATTTGCATTTAATTTTCTTGATCTCGGGTAGATTAGAACATTTATAGTGTATATGTATAGTGACTGAATAAAATATTTGCCAGTAATTGTTGTAAACCATTGTTAAGTTTCTTGAGTTTCTTTTGATGTATCTTACAAAAAGTAGGCATTATTTTAATAGGGTAATTAATTAGATGTGTACCTGGAGCTATTCCACTCAGCTTGATGTGTCTTTGCTTGATGTGACTTTGCGGAAGGTTTTGCTTATAACTTCATACCTCATTATCCATATAATTAGCTAAACTTCACACATGTTTTTTTTAATCAAAATGTTAAAACAATGTCCAAGATCTGTAACTCTTGCATATAACTAAGCTGATTTATTGGTGCCGACTGTGAAGTTTTCATGTCAAAGTTTTGCATCAAAAGTCTACCTCAACCACTGAAGAAACTTCAACCATGTGATCGTGTATGTCTTCGCCAGTTGCAAAGAGGATAACAAAATTAACATATCTTAAAATGTTTTAAAGATTCTAAAAATTTTGAAGGGTGCCTATTTGTGTGATATTGAATATTCAAATTTTATTGTACGTACAATGTATTTATTGTTACTAGTTTTAAATGTAAGTGGTTGCACAAGGGATGGAACGTACAGAGAGGTTTGATACTTTTTTAAGCGAGGTGAATTTGTACAATAACGAAATAATGGCGGATTTTAGAATGTCACGTCAGATTGAGTATATTTTATAATAAATGTAAGTCATTAACTATTAAAATTACAAATTTTGTGTGGATCTTGCGGGAATCTGACTTACGCAAACTTCCTCGAAATGATAGAAGTTTGTATTCAATAGTAAAAAGTTATTGAAGATAAATTGACAGTAACTGGTTTTGTGTCGGTGAAAAAGCTAAAAATCAAAGTCGTCATTCTAAATTTTAAGAATTCCCTAAATATTAATTTCAACACATTAAAAGAAATGGTTACAGGGCAGAATCAGAACACCTGCCTTAACGCGGTAGACAAAAATAAGATTGCTAGAAAAGTAGAAATAGAGAAACATGTATGTATACGTAATACATTATTCAAATTACAAAGACTGCAACCAAAGACTATAAAAGTGTCTTTGACAAAGAGTTTAATCTCTGAAAATTTTCAACTCCTTACACTATGGATATTAAATTTGAAAATATTAAAGCAATATGTATATATATATATATGTTAGTGCTTTATGATAATGTTGAATGCTATATTTTGTTAAAATTGTGTATTATCGTCTTCTTTTTTTGGCACTTTGTTCTTAATTTCTTTATTCATTACATATGCATGAATATAATCTTAAAACTTCCCTTTTCCTGAATGTTACATGGAATCGCTGTACCTATCGCTACACTTTTCTAAAAATAGAACATCTACGGGAAATTTCAATCCCTAAATAATTACAAGTACAAATGTTGCTGCAATCAGACCTGGGGTAATCACTAATCGTAATCATCGATTTTTTAATTGATTAAATGATTACACTGTAATCATCATGTAATTGATTACCTTGCTCAAAATTGATTACATTAATTGTAATTAATCAATTACAGCTAAAATTCAGTCTGTAATTATGATTACAATTTGATTGATGATGATTACTTTCAGATTTTACATGAAACTATTGAAATTCAAATGATTTATTTCACATGTTACAGTTTAACTTATGCTCCTTTATGATGATCTTGAATCACAAATTGAAGAGTGTAAATTGATTGATTTTGATACACAATAGCAACATTTTTATTGAAATAGAAAGAATGTTCTCTACTGATATCCATATTTGAAGTAAATGATAAAAATGATTGTCCATAAAGTTAGTAAAATATCAAGTGAGATGTTTTAAGACATCACTCACAATGAAGAAATAAGTTTTAATCCATACAGTTAACCAAATTCTATCTGAAAGATAGACATCATTGTTTGGCTGGTATGCTAACCAAAATGTAAAATCATTGAATTTATGATGTCTTTGAATTTCCTAAAGAATCTGGAAATGTGACAGCACATTGCAAAATGTGCAAAATGTGCTATAGGAAGATAAATGGAAGATAAATGGAAACACTAAGTCACATTCAAATTTCATTACCCACATAAAGGTATGTTAAATTTTGTTTCACATATTTTGGTTAAACTATGTTTAAAAAAATTTCAAACAATGTAGGTAACTTCTTTGCAACAGTTATTTTGTAAGGTAATAGACAATGTGTCTATATTATAATGGATACTGTTGTACAATTGAAGTGTTTGTAAAAAATTGATGATTTCTTTGTAAAGCCTATTGTCTCTTTGAATTCCCATACAAAAATTTATTGTTTTCACACCTGTTTTAACACCTGTATACAGCATACTGTACAATTAACACTTTTCAAAATTTCTGTTGCAGAGAGTTCATTATGAAACCTACACCAAGAAGACTGAGGACCATATCTGCATCATCAGCCCCTGTACAGTGTTTGTCTAGTGTTGCGCTCAAAATTATCCGTCCTGATAGATGCAGTCTGACTGACAGACGGTTTTATGAACTTATGATGCTAAAGTACAATGCTAAAATATGATAAAGTGATGTGACAGTTACTTAAAGTGTGTTAAATTGATGACTGTTGATTTTGTGTATATAATGTTTATAATGTATATATTAAATAGCATTAAGAAACTTTTGTTTATAGTTATACATTGAATGTAATCAATTATCAATCAATTACTTTCTTAAAGTAATTGTAATTTAATTGATTACAGAGGCAAGTCTCAGTAATCAATTGTAATCAATTACAATAAAATCTGAAAGAAAGTAATTGTAATTAAATCAATTACTGATCAATGTAATCATCCCCAGGTCTGGCTGCAATGCAGCAATTTAGAAGCTCCGCGCAAAAAAAAAAATGAATGCGCTCATTACAGGTACCTTACCAAATTATTCCTACGCACAGGTCATGTTATATTCAGATTACGTACTTGATTTTTACCGAATGTTTTGTAAACCATTTTTTGCATAATTATACTTATCTTATGCACTGTCCATAATTAAAAAGAGGGGCCAGATGTTTAATTAAAAAAAATGCTTTCACTGATGCCTATACCTGGTAAGGAAAGTAATTTCATTGAATACAAACAATACTTACAAGACTTGTACAATTGTTATGTGACATGATTGTACTTTGCTCTGTTTGTGTCACTACTGTAGTCAGTAACATAAGATGATAAAAATATATAAGAGCATGACTGGAAAATTGGAAATTGCAAATTTTCACAAAACTATATCAAAACAAAATAAATTTACAAGTGAAACCCCAGGTGCACAGCTTCACATACTGAGAAAAAATCCTGATAAGTTTCATGACCCTAGGTCAAATACTTTTTGATCTACATGCGACATGAGTTGATGATTGGACATTTTTACTGACTCAAGGGCAATTACTCTGACAAAACAGAATAAATCCACCAGCAAAACCCCAAGTGCACAATTTCACAAATGCTGACCAACATTTCTGTAAAGTTTCATGACCCTATGTCAAGTACTTTTTGAGCTATGTGCGACACAAGTTGAAAATTGCCAATTTTTACTAAGCTACACAAATATTGAATAAATCCACACGCAAACATCCAGGTACAAAACTACAATTGCTGACTAACATTTCTGTAAAGTTTCATGACTGTAGGTCAATTACTTTTTGAGCTACGTGCGACACAACATGAGAACAGACAAGGGTGATTTTATCTAAATCACCCCGCACAATCAAATGGGCAGACAGCCGTTCAACCGTCGACAGCCGTAATGGTATATACATGTCGATGTAAAAAACACAATTAACGGACGGTAAATGTTAACATATCCCAATCGTGTTCGAGTAAAGCAATATTATGGATTCACAACATCCAAGAGAGCACGCTTTTTTCTGGCCCGGTGCAAGCTTTACATGAATTTAAACTGAAAATAACCACACTTTCCGATGAAATGCGACATTTTTTAGAAAAAACACCCCACAAAAACTTACAGTTTCATATGATAATGTATTATTTTAAGACACAGATCTGTCACTTATACACTTCCTGTTTACCGACTTAGTTAAATTTTGGACATTTACTGTTAATGATAGGAATATTTCGTAACAGTTTTCTCAGCAACTACTTATCACAGCCTCTTGATATTTGGCATACAGCATTAACACTTGGTCCCATACTGTGGGATTCAATTTCAAGTCTGTTGCTCATCCACTTCCTGTTAACCGACTAAGTTAAATTTTCAACGTTAATGGTCAATGGTAAACATTTTTTGTAACATCATAGCCTCATGATATTTGGTATACAAATGCAACCCGGCCTTTTCTGTCTTTGACCCATTTTTAAGTTAATGTATTTCATGTTTATAATAGTCATACCAAGGGAAGTCTTCTTCCTTATCCTTTAGTAAGGGGTCATTTGGGTCAAGGTCACCAATGTCAAAAATAGATTTTTACACTTTTACAGGTGTATTAACCTTATTCTATCGACAGATATCTTGTATATTTTGTAGGAACATACAATTGAGGTATTTTTAATTGGATGGAGGTAGGGGTCAGTTGGGTCAAGATCACCAGTGCCAAAAATAGATTTTTACACTTTTGCTCATACAGCCTTTATTTATTGACAGATTTGTATTTTAATTGGTAGGAAGATAACTTACATGGAATTCTGCCTTTGGGTGGAGTTAGGGGTCAGTTGGGTCATGGTCAACAGTGCTAAAAATAGATTTTTCTCCTTTGCCCATACAGCCTTTATATATTGACAGATTTATTTCATATTTGGTAGGAAAATAAGTTGCATGATATTCTTCCTTTGGATGGAGTTAGGGGTCAGTTGGATCAAGGTCACCAGTGCTAAAAATAGATTTTTTTCACTTTGCCCATACAGCCTTTATTTAAAATATTGTTACTGACAAGAATCTGAGCCGGGGGCATTTGTGTTTAACAAACACGTTTTGTTTGTTCTTGAGTTATTAATATGATTTAAAAACTATTGATATGATTTAAAAACTATTTTAGAACTATTAATTTCGTGTGATGATATTAAATTGTTTATTTTTCACGCGATTTTATT